ACATGCTTTACACATATGCCTATATAATGTAGCTAAGCAAGCAGAACCCCAACTATATCTATTGCATTTATCTAAATCTCCCACTAGGGATATCCAAGAAGAACGTAAATAGTTATGGCTCTTGTTTGGTATCAATACTTTAGCTATGAGTAGTAATACATAAATTTTTGCATGGAAAAGGTTCTCCTCATCGGATGGCGATACGTTTTGTCTTAATTGTGCTAATATAGTTTGTAGCCAAATAATTTTAACACAAGCTTTATGTTTATCAGATGTCGAAGGTTCAATACCTAAATGTTCCATATATACATCACTGCCTACTTGTGTAGGACTATTCACAACCTTACCGTTTACATGGAGACCTAATAACATACTTACATCCTCCAACGTTATGGTGCATTCGTCGGTTGGAAGATGAAAAGTGTGTGTTTCTGGTCTCCACCTTTCCACCATAGCAAGTATGAGCTTCGAATCAACATTGATAGTGGTTATTTTTGCAACTTTTGCAAAACCTGCTCGTTCCAAATACGGTTTGATTGTCTCACTTGGTGCATCGATAGCATGTGAATGAAGCCTAAATCTTTCGTTGTCAGGCTGTTTTAAATATTGAAAAAATCAATACTTTCAGTTATTAAAAAATAAACACAATGTAATGATGTAATAATAAATGTAAAATAAAAAACTTAAGTATGAAGAAAACAAATTACATAGGCGGCAACATTGGCCAGTGTTCCCCGATGATTTTCTCCCATCCACAACATTGACATTTGGAATAATTTAAACTGTTGAAGTATTGAATTAATTTGGTGATTTTGCAATGCATATTAATAAAAAGTGATGCTATTTATAAGGAAGAATTCTGAGTAAACATTATTGAGCCATGCAATTACCCGTTGAAAAAAGAGTTGAGTCAAACAATTAAATGAATCCAAAACTATTCCTCTGCATGGTTCCCTCTACATCCCTATAGATAACACACTATTAAGTAGTTGTACCCTCTGCACCCTAAATTATTTACTAGCGTTGCATGAAAGCATTTTGTCCCGAAAAGACAACACACTGCACCCTCTGCACCCTAAACTATTTACTAGCGTTGCATGAAAGCATTTTGTCCCGAAAAGACAACACACTGCACCCTCTGCAGCTCGGCCAATGGAAAAACATGCCTTAACACACGCTTCATGGGTTTGTCATTTGGTTTGACGACCCTACACGAATACTTCATGGGTTCGTCATTTGGTTGGACGACCCCAAACTGTTATGTCTGCATGTTCGTCATTTAGTAGGACGAACCAACACTGTTCCATATTACTATATATTATTTCATGTCTTGTAGACTACCATCCAACTTACACTGTCTGTATTAAATCAATGGCAAGTAGAAGTACATTGGTCACCATGCACTATAATGATTCTGTGTTCACTGATTAAAATATCAGTTTCTCATTCAACCGTACAAATACGGTGGTGTTCAAACTTCATTGTAGTTCTGATATTCTTCATCTAAAAGAACACATCGAAAGAAAAGTGCAACGCTCAGTTTATGAAATTATTTACCGTCAACCATTACTTAATGGGGTATATGGTGGTATGTTCTACATAATGAAGCAGATAGATACAGACAAATCAGTAAAATCAATGTTCCAGTGTCATTACACAACGTCTCATTTGAAGACGATTGAGTTATATGTTCGCCTTGATGGCGAAGCATATCCAACGCAATCATCATATTCGCATCAATACGGAGTGAGCCAAGCAACTGATGAAGAAATTACACAAAATAATGAACCTTTCATACAGAACGAGGAGATTGGTGAATACAGTGACGATGAACTACACGATGTTCGCTTTGAAGATATTTTTGGTGATGGCTATGAAGAGGATGTTCTCCCCGTGCATTCCTAGGTAACAAATGTTCAACCCATTAATCTGTATAATCCACCAGTGCACATGTCAAATATATGTATGGAGTCTTCTCAACCCATCTATATTTTTGAAAATGACGCACCAAACCATATTGCTGACAACTTGGAAGTAGGGATAATGTTTGAAAATAAGGAAGCATGTGTTCTTTTTTTGCAACATTGACACATAAGTAACAATCTTGACTATGAAGTATATAAATATGATTTAGTAAGGCATATAATAAAATGTAAGAATCCACAGTGTATGTTCACATGTAGAGCTGCATTGCGTAGAAAGGGCATATTATGGGAGATCGCTACTATAAGCGGATCCCACACTTGCACAACGACTTCTATGTCACATGACCATAGAAAATTAAATTTGGAAATTATTAGCCACAACATTAGGGAACTTGTTAACAACGACGCTTCACTAAAAGTTAAAGTGATACAAGCCCATATTGCGGAAAAATACGGTTATAGAATCTCATATCGGAAAGCTTGGATTGCAAAGATTAAAGCCATAGAATCACTTTATGGGAATTGGGAGACGTCTTACAATGAATTACCATAATGGTTGTTGGTGATGAAGACATATCTTCCTGAAACTGTTATACAGTTGAAAACATTGCCAATTATTACAGCGGAACCCAATTGGGTGACAAACAAAAATTTCATCGACTTTTTTGGGCGTTTGAACCATGTATCTGTGGTTTTATTTACTGTAAACCTATTGTGCAAATTGACATAACATGGTTGTACGACAAGTACAAAGGGACTTTATTAATGGTTGTGGCACAAGATGGAAATGGTAACATTTTTCTGGTAGCATTCGTATTGGTTGAAGGTGAGGCAAATTATGGTTGAAGTTTCTTTCTCAGGAACTTGAGAATGAATGTGACCCCCCAGGCTAATCTGTGTCTCATATCCAACCGACATTGATCAATCAAGATTGCTTACGATGATCTTGAAAATGGATGACAGGACCTTCATCTTCACATGTTTACTGTATCAGGCACATTGTGCAAAACTTCATGCGTGAGTTCAAAGACAAAGAACTATGGAAAATAGTTGCCAACATGGGTATGCCTACATCTTCACGTGTTAATGTTTCAATAAATATTTATTGACTAATTGATTTTCATATGTTTTACTTAACATTTTTACTTAACATTTTTGTTATAGGATATGCATTAACGGAGACAATATTTAACTACTACCATGGCAAAATACGAAGAACAAATAGAGCACCTTTGGAGTGGATAGACAGTATTCTCAAAGAGAAGTGATCGAGAGTGTTTGACGGAGGACAGTGGTGGGGACACATGACAACAAATTTGGCCGAAGTTATGAACTCGGTACTTAAGGCTACCCGAAACCTTCCTATTATTGCAGTGGTCAAGTCAACGTTCTATCGTCTAGAACCGCTGTTTGGAAAACGAGGACATGATTGGACAAAAATGTTGGCATCCGGTTAAACTTTCACGGATAACTCTAATAAGGGAATGGTCGACGAAGCAAGTAAATCTAGCAGCCATAATGTCATCCAATTTGATCGCGAGAGATTCTGTTTTATAGTTTCCAAAAGGATTAATCAACACGATGACCGACCATTATATACTTTTAGCATTGATCTCATGAGAGGGTGGTGCGGTTGTGGGAGGTTTCAAACATTTCATTTACCTTACTCCCATGTAATCGCAACATGTGCTAGTATATGGCAGAACCATAACATGCACATACCAGATGTTTTCAAGGTTCTGAGTGTATTAAAAGTCTACAGCGAAAGCTTCCTTGGACTTCCACACCACAAAAATTGGCCAAAATATGAAGGATTTACTCTTTGCCATGACGAGACAATGCGAAGAATAAAAAAGGGCGTCCAAATAATACAAGAATTAGAATTGAAATGGACGATTTTGAGAAAGAAAAGAGATGTGAGATTTGTCGAGAAATTGACCATATGCGTAGAAAATGTCCAAATATAATAGGCCCGTCAAATCGGCCCGTCTAAATTAATTTGTTTGTTTTTTAAATTATTTTTTAAAACATTTATTAAATTATAATATCTATTATTTAAGTTTTCAATATTTTAAAACATCAAAATAGTTTTTAATCTGTACAAAACAGTTAAATATATTAAAATATAATAACATTTATATAATTATATTTATAAAAAAAAAACTCATTCAATGATTCGGATAATGATTGAACGAACCCCTTCATGTCCGAATTTTGTATCATTGATTCGTTATTTTATTGGACGATCTCTAAATAAAGTTATAACATTCTCATACTTTTTCATGATGTGGCAGTGCAGTTTAGTATATAATATTTTAAAATGGTAGAGTTTCAGTAAAAAAAATCTATAATTACAACAAAATAAAATGAAGTGGAATGAATAGAACAACTATTCATTATTTAGATATTCTTTAACATAAAAATAAAATCATTATTGTTTGGACAGGGTAAACTGTAAATATTTAATTTTCTTTTTTATTCTCATTTAAACAAATATTGTTATATTTAAACATTTTTTATTCATATAAGAAAACGAAATCATAGTCAAAAATAAGATCAAGGCAAATACACTACGCACAGTTCTCTCGATTTCTAGGTACTCTCTCTCGATCTGTAACTAGATCTTCAATCTCCCCTTTTCATTCGCTTCAATGTTTCTCCGTTTTCAATTTCACGAATCGATTATTACGTTTGCTCTTCATATTTTTAAGTTTTAATTTTGGGTTTCGAATATCAAAATCGCCAAATTTTCTGTATTTAGGGTATAGGGTTTTATGCTTTTATTCATATTTTGGATCTTGTTTAACTAGATTGTTATTGATCATTGAACCGTTACTTTAGTCAGTGATTTTCATCTTGCTATTTGAATTGAGATAAATTATACAACATTGGGAATAAAAATTAACAAATTATTGTACTGAATCTTTAGGGTATGATTTTAGTCTGAATTAAGATGAATTTTATAAGATTGGGAAGGAAAGTTAACTAATTGTTTGGTTTGGTTTTGTAATTTTTGGTTAAATTTGTAGAGACTGAATTTTACATTGATTTGTGTGTTGGTTTGATTGCAGAAAAATGCCTGGTCAAAAGGTTGAAACGGGTCATCAAGACACGGTTCATGATGTTGCAATGGATCATTATGGTAAACGGTTGGCTACAGCTTCTTCGGATCATACGATTAAGATAATTGGAGTGAGTAACTCGGCGTCACAGCATTTAGCAACTCTTACTGGTCATCAAGGACCTGTTTGGCAGGTAACATGGGCTCACCCGAAATTTGGTTCTTTACTTGCCTCGTGCTCTTTTGATGGGCGAGTAATTGTATGGAAGGAAGGTAACCAAAACGAATGGATCCAAGCTCATGTATTTGATGAGCATAAGTCGTCTGTGAACTCGGTTGCTTGGGCGCCGCATGAGTTGGGTCTTTGTTTGGCTTGTGGTTCGTCGGATGGGAATATTTCGGTTTTCACTGCACGAGCAGATGGTGGTTGGGACAGTTCAAGGATTGACCAAGCTCACCCTGTTGGTGTCACTTCTGTGTCGTGGGCTCCTTCCACGGCACCTGGTGCTCTTGTAGGTTCTGGCTTGCTTGATCCTGTACAGAAGCTTTGTTCCGGTGGTTGTGATAGTACCGTGAAGGTGTGGAAGCTTAACGACGGGCATTGGAAGCTGGACTGCTTCCCTGCTCTTCAGAAGCATACTGATTGGGTTCGAGATGTAGCTTGGGCACCGAATTTGGGACTTCCAAAGTCTACTATTGCAAGTGCTTCTCAGGATGGAAAGGTTATTATATGGACTGTGGCCAAGGAGGGGGATCAATGGGATGGAAAGATTTTGAACGATTTCAATACCCCTGTTTGGAGAGTTTCGTGGTCATTGACTGGAAATATATTGGCTGTGGCTGATGGGGGCAATAATGTTACATTATGGAAGGAAGCAGTAGATGGAGATTGGCAACAGGTGACAACTGTGGAACCATAGAATCTGATCTTTAATGTCTACTCTTTCTTTATTGAGTTGAGATTATGGTTAGAAATTTGTTTTAAAATTATAATTGACACCTTGTTTCTATGCATATTATATAGTTGAGGAGTTATATTTTGTGATACCTTTAGTTCCTTGAACTTTGTGACCCATCAAACATACATTATGTGCTTTCGAGAATGAAGTTAAACAGCTTGATTTGTTTTTTTCTTGATAGATAACAACAATGTTTTGCAAGTATATAAAAGTAAGGTTTCATCACAGTTTTGGATCTCTATTATATTTATATCAGTTGTTTTAATTTGTGGCCATTGCAATATAGATTTGGTACACATGATCCATAAGTTATAACCTCTGGTGCATATTCGGTAAGGGTTAATATCTTTAGGGTAAATGTTAGATGATTGAATGATAATCACAGTTGATTAACTGGTACTTTATGGTTTTCTGTTAGCTGAAAATAGTTGCTACTGCATTGCTTCATTCCTTGTATAAGTAATAATTATAGCAAGTTTCATTTTCTCCAAATTGCGAAAACTAACATTAAGACTGTGGCTCTCAGAATGATTTTGCTCTGAAATATTTTAGTCTTAGTTTTTTTTTTGGTATATTTTTTTTAGTTTCTTTCTCGTATTTACCTTATAAACATGGGATTGGGATTAGTTTATCTATCTATAGCATGAAGGTGTAAAATTTGGAATAATCTCCAGAATCTCCGTTGTATCTACTTTTATGAGCTGGTGGATTGTTTTGAAATTTCACTTTATTCGAGAGGAAAAAGAGACATTTACCATGATGTTTAGTTCTAAATCAAAATATTTTGGTCAATACACATGTTGGAATTTCAACGAGGGATAGATTTGTTCTTCATATAAGATAAAAAAGTTTGATCAATATCATTAAGCATTGTGATCGAGAAACACACAAGAAAATTAAACACAAGTATTACATTGCATAGAAGTAACACAAACATTACGAGGAACACACAAGAAAATTAAACACAAGTATTACATTGCATAGAAGTAACACAAACATTACGAGGAACACAACATGTTACATGGCCTTGTACTTGCAATTTCTCAATTCAGTGCAACATTTCCGAATTCAATAAAGAAAAAGTAACACCTGGTACACCCAAATGCGTTGAAGAAACTTGCACAACAAGGTCTACCATTAGTTCATGGAGGTTTGATTTTTTTATTATCAAGTACACAAACTCAACTCAAGTTATGTAGCTTTGCATAAATTCGGTTCAAGCAGGTGTTAACTTAGTTTGAGTACTTTTGTTTTATGCAAATTTAATTCATGTATGTATTTGCAAAGTTGGTCAGTTACAAAAATATGTACTCAAATTCAATTTACATCATCGAAGTATATGAATTCTCAATGTCTAAATCTTACACAAACTCAATTTAATCATGTTTATGCAAACTCAAAGCAAGTAAGTTTAAGCAAATTCAATTTTAAGAATTGGCTGATATGAGCTTTTTAAAAACCTAACAGGCGGGTGTAAATTGAAATTATATGGTGAAAGTATAAGTTTTCTTAAAATTTTCACCCATTAAAACTCCATCATAAAAAGGTCCAAAGTAGGAAACACTTAGAGCTGAAAATGAGTCGAGTCGAGTCGAACTTACCTCAGCTCGACTCGTTAAGAATTGTTCGAGTTCGAGTTCTACACGAACTTTTTTTAAGCTCAAACTCGACTCGTTATAAGTTCACGAACAGTTCGGTTCAACTCGTTAGGTTCATCTCATTAGGTTCAGCTCACATAATTCACGGACTTAAAAACTATTTTTTTAAATATATATATATATATATATATATATATATATATATATATATATATATATATATATATATATATTTGTATATTTGACATTTTAAATAAATATATTTTTTAAAAATAAAAATATTAAAATAAAATAAAAGTTATCATATTAAAATTTAACTTTATCTTCGAAATCTACTAATTCAAAACCTACACAACTTTCAAGAGATATATTTAAGAGTTTAATTCAAAAACTATTAAATTGAAGATTAAATTTGTCTAAGATTTGAAGTAAATATTTAAACATAATCTTATCATATGTAATCGAGTTGACTCATAAACCTAATGAGTCGAACTATGTATAGTTCAAATTCAGCTCATTTAGTTAACGAACTTAATTTTTCGCTCATACTCAACTCATTTGATTCATAAAACTAGTTCAATGATTTAATTGTCGAATCGAATTCCGAACTATTTTCGAGTTGGTTCGGTTCATTGCCAGCCCTAGAAACACTAAACCTGTAAATGAAATCGGAAACTGAACATGTAAATGTCTTTCTTGCCCCTAAGTTAGTAGTAACCATTAACACATCTCTCACAAAGACACAACATTCGGTTCGGTTCAACATATTTGGCTGGATTTCCCAAACCGACTCGGACCGGAAACTGGTCCAATCTAGCTTTTCTGAATCGGTTCGTTTCATTGTTCGTTTTTGCTCAAAGAAACTGATACGTTGGGTGTACCAGTGAGATCTCTCTCCGATTCAATGGCTTCCACCTACCGTGATCGTACGTCGGAGTTCCGATCACTGACGGAGACTTTAAAGAAGACTGGCGGCGGAGGAGAAGGCACCGCACCGCCGAATCAACAACCGTCTACGTCTCAAGGTTCCTATTCAAGATCTGAATTCAACCGAAAGGCATCACAAATCGGATTAGGAATCCACGAAACCTCACAGAAAATCGCGAGGCTCGCTAAGTGTAAGCGATTTCATCATCATCATCATCATCATTTTTTATATATTGAATTGAATTTTTTGTAATGATTTGTTATTGATTGCTTGTTGTAGTGGCGAAGAAATCGTCTCTGTTTAATGATCCAATTATGGAAATTCAAGAACTGACTGCATTGATCAAGACTGATATAACGACGTTGAATTCAGCTATTTTGAATTTGCAAAATATTCAGAAATTTGATTTGGCTGATGAGAATTATTCAGAAGATAGAGTTGTACATTCTAATGCTGTTTGCAATGACTTGAAGAATAAGCTCATGGGAGCCACAAAGCATCTTCAAGATGTTTTAACTACTAGGACAGAGGTAAATAATATGTTGATCACAAACTTTACAAACTATTAGCACCAAAGTAGCTTATGATATCTGTATTAAACATTTTTAATGATTTAACTATTGAGGCTCCATTTGATAAAATTAAACCATAAGTTATGAAGCACGAACACGACACCGACACTGATACGGCGACATTAGTAATAATTTAAAAAAATTAATAAACTAAACGTAGTCACAAGTGTCGGTGTTTGACAGGATACAGACACACATTTTGTCAGAGGTGTCGGTGCTACTGAGTAAGTTAGCGTATAGCAGAAAAGCTAGTTGATATCTGAAAAAATAACTTATAACTAATAGCTTATGTGTGAAAAGCTAGTTGATTAGGAAGTAATAACATTAAGATGATAAAGCTGAGGATGGGAGAAAATTAAAATCGCTATAAGCTCAAGTGCTAGTTAAATCTGTATTTGTATGTTTATCAAGCAATCAAATTTTTATGCATATCACATGCCACACAATTTTTCTCTTGCCATCTAATTTATATTGTGAATGTATGTCATGTACCCTAGAACATCAAGGCTCATGAGAATAGGAAGCAGATATTTTCCAAAAACCCTTTACAGCATCAGCCAAAGCCAACTACTGAGCCGCCACCTTGGTCAAATTCAACAAATGCATTTGAAACTGAGAGTTTGCAACAAGCACCAGGAGGGTAAGTAATTTTATTATCATGTTAATGTTAAAGGTTGGGTTTGTTTATTATGCCTTGGCGTCGTGAGCTTTCCTTCCCAACTCCGTCGCCATTATGTAAAACTAGGGAAAGTGGCACAATGCTCAAACATTTGAAAGTTGCTGTTGGGATTGTCACTTTCTAGTTCTGTATGTTGCATCTGAATTGGAAAATTTTAAAATTGTTGTATTCTTCAATACTCATGTTGCCATATCATTGTTTTGATCAATGGTTCAATCTGACCATATGTATGTCAGTATGTGAGTGTGCGTTGGTCTTAATTTCTGACTCTCAGGTATCAATGCTACATTTCTTTCCTAACACCACACACTAACATAGCAGAGCTTTCTGATCTAAATACACTCAAGCTCATGAGACCTTGTATACACTCTCCCATAGTGTATAAAATACCTGTAACCAGTAACCACCTATAACTGTTTCATTTCAATCATTTTTCAGTAGAGAAACTCAAGATTTAGTTCTGGCAGTTGTACTGAATGTTCATCTATGGGAAATCACAAAACTGTGATCTGAGAAAATTCAATAACTTTTGATACTTAACTAAACAAGTAATAATCTTGGTGATAGTCATCTAAGAGAAGCAGAACATATATATTTTATGTGTTGATAGGTGATTCTTGCCGAAAAATTTAAAGTCAGACTTGACAAATGAAATGACTCCCAAATAATGCAAAGCTAATTCCACACATTATAGAATAACTATGTTTACTCTTCTGAAATTTGGGATTAATATGCAACTAAAAAATTTAAACCCGGACTTTAGAACTGTACTTTAAATTATTTGAACAGAGTCACCGTTGGTATCATCTTACTGAATCCTATTTCATGTATTTACTTATTGTACACTGCTTCAAGAAATATCAGCGAATCATTTCAAGACATTGTTAAAATCTCTTAGTCTTAACTACCTATTTTCTATTTCCTCAATTCTTTTCTATTGCTAACAAATATCTTACATCGTTCTACGTGTGTCTGTTATGTCGAATAAGTAGGAACCCCCAAATAACTATGCCATAGCTAATTTTAATACTTATAAATTATACTGTAGTTTGGCTTTGTAATATTGTAACTTATCAATTCATAATTGCCTCTTTAGAAATCTAGTCTTGAAGAGCGAAGAACTTTCCTTGAATGTGTTTATAAATAATAATGAATCTACGTGTCTTATTTTATTTATGTTGAAA